GGTAATAACGCCCCACAAAGGCCTGCCAGACCTTTGATGAGCTTCACTATAGACTTGAATGGGAGGCGTTAAAAGGCTTCAACACCTCCTGACAGGACATGAGGTGTCAATTCTGCTGTGACAGTAAAGCTTCAGTGTGAACAGCCATGTGTATAATTTTCATAGCCATTTGAGGAGCAGCAAAATGCCTGCTTCCAAAGCCAGTGTGAACCTAGCCTTTAAAGTTTTGAGACCTTTCAGGCACTAGTATTCATCTGCATTTCAATCTAGTTTAAGGATCAGATACAGCTGCACTATTATACAAACTAAACAAAAATTTACATTTTGAACATTTGTCAGGCTAATAAAACAAGAGCACTTTTTATTAAAAAAACAAATATATTCTTGAAAGAATTAATACAAAAATGATTTAGGAGTGCATATTCGAGTTATTGTACACACACGGCCTAGACATAAAAAAAAATAAAAAATTATATCACATACACACACACACACTTATTTGGCAGTTCAGTGTAGGATTTAAATGTTATGCAAGTGTAATTGGTGCTTCTTTATGCAATACCTCCATAGCCTTCAGGATGCGGTTCATTTAACTGTAATTTTCTAGAAATTAATTAATAATTGCTCAAGATCCAAGTTAAAATATAAATTATGCAATGCAATATTTAATAATTGATAAAATATTATTTTTACTCAATATCATAGTTGAAAGGATAAAAACACACACACACACACACACACACACTTACTTAGGTCCATATATATTTGGACACAGGTACAATTTTAGTTTTTTCGGGTATATTCAAGCTACAGTTATATAATGGACATGGGCTGAAAGTGCAAACTCAGGTTTAATTTGAGGGTATGTACATCCAAATTGGAGGAAGGGTTTAGGAATTACAGCTCTTAAGTGTAGCTGTCAGCCCATACCTTGTACAGGCAGTTACTGAATGACAGGAAAAATCAATTAACTACCTACAGTGCTCACCAGCACATTGGTAGTTCATTAAGAGCTACAAGTTGTCAGCCACATTGGCAGACGATAGTTTTAGCTCTCCTATTCATAGAAATTGTGAATTACATGGCCTGGGAGGGCAGAGCCCCACACAGCCATTTTTTTTTGTTATTGTGACCTGTGGGGCAGGTAGAAGGAACTCACGGGGAGCGGGGGCTGCTCAGTCAGTAAAATATTATATCCTAAATATCCTAAATATGGGTGTAACGTATCATATCACTTAAGCTAAAATTATCCTTTACTTACATTTTTTATATTAAGAGGATTCCCCATTTAAAAAGCTGTTAAAATAATAGTGATGGGCATAAAAGCCAAAAATGGTCTGCTTAATAAAGGATAGGTAAAATATATAAAAAGCTTGAAGTACTGTTTGGCTTCAAGAGACAAATCAGATTGAGGTCCTCCTATTGTGGTTCTGTAATAAAACCAGAAATATCATCCCTGTTCACAAAGCGGCAGAGAAGTTTAAAGATTATCCCATATGAATATACTGCTGCAAAGTCTATATAAGAAAAACCTCTTGAGCACTTGAACTGTAAGGGGGCAATGGTGGCTGAGAAATGTGTTTTTGACCACAACTGCTAACACTGGTGATAGTTCTGACCGGGGTCCTGAACATGGCAACTGAGCACTGATCATGACCTCTCAACATGCTATTTCAGGTGCCCATAGTTCCATTTGTTAAGGCTACTGAGGAAACCAACAAGAACAAAAAAAAAAAGTTACAATTAAAAGCAAAACTATTCTATTTCTGCATTTATTCCTGTTATAAATGAGTGTTTGTTTTTTATTTCCCACAACAAAAAGTATGGGGAACAAGCATTGTCAAAAGAGAACAATGGCCGACTCCATTAATCTCTACCTAGACACTGAAGTACTTCTTTTAAAAAGCCAATCTTGACAAACACAACTGCCCAAACTGCCCCTTCCCCAATGTTTGTGTTTCGTCTTTAATCACATAATATAGTCCCCTTTGAAAGGTGACTAGACATCATCTGTGATGTTTTACTATTATTTATGTTTTGATATCATTAATCATTCTACCTTTATGGTTTCTTTCCTTTCCTGGAACATCTTAAGGCTCATTCAGATGGGTGATTAGTCCTATCATCTGATCTGAGCCACTGTCTGCTGAGTGTGAATCTGAGAGCTACATGCAGGCAGCCCATATGGATGCATATGCAGCTGCTGAACGGAGACAATCACGTCAAAATTTGGCATGTGGGCAAGGATCTGAACAGTCTGTGTTCAGATCCGTGCACCCACTCCTGCTGACATGACAAAATTTGACATGCAATCGTGTCCATGTGGATGCTGCATGTGAATTATGTCTGTGGGCTGCCTGCACATAACTACAAGGTAGATTCACATGTATCAGACAGCAGCTCAGATCAGAGGATGGATCTGATTGCCTGTCTGAATGAGCCCTTCGTCTTCTCTAAGATTTCCTCACATATTACAATTCATCACAAAAGAAATATGCACTAAGCACTAAAAAGCAGGTTAGATGAATGAACTAAAAAGGTGAATCAAGTTCTGGTCTGCCCACTCCTGCTTCATTGCTGGTCAGGACACTCACCACAGTAATGGGCCATTAGAAGGTGCAAGCCAGCACTCCACTTTACCAGGAGAAATCTGAATTCACACATGTACATGTAGGTCATATATTAGTCGTTTTGCTCTTAGCACCATTGTCACCCTGCATATAGTGTGACCATAGGACAGGGAAGCATTTACTAATATAGTAAATAATAAAAAGAAAATTGGTTATGGAGCGTTTCTAGTTCTACAGGCTTACCTTACTGCTTGCAAATACTGTGGCACTGCTCGGCAAACATCATGCTTTCTTTCTGGCACACGCTGTCTACATTTATAGGAGGTGTATGAACCACAGGTAGTCAGTCCAATAACTAGGCAGGTGATCTATACACCAGAGGTCAAGGACTACCACACTAAGTGCACAGAGTGCTTCAAAAGACACTATGATGGCCATACAGTACCAACATTGGGTTTCAAGTAAGTCTTTTCTTCAAAAGTCTGGACCTGTAAACTAGGAAAGTCCACGAAAGACTACTTCCTCTGTCTTTTAAAGAGACCCTGTCACCAAACCATTCATATTAATCTTCCCAAAAGAATATATGCATTTAACCTATTATGTATGCAATTTACCTGTAAAATCCTCCCTTGTGTGGATATTCAAAATTCCTGAGACTGCTGCTGGGTTTCACCATCTTGGTTAGCAGCTGTCATTCAATTCACACTCTATAACAGCCATGTAAGGGGCCCCGTCATTGAACACTAATGTAAGGAGGCATTTCTAACAATCAGTGTATTCCTGTCTGCATCTCTTTTCTAACCATCAATTTTCATTTTAAATTTTGTTATTATTTGTTATTATTACAAATCATATTGCCAAACAGAGCCGGGGGGAGAGACAAATATTCCAATGGCACATTAAATAAATTAACAGAGGTGAGAACTAAAATTTATTTGAAAGGTTCTTCTGGGGTAAGAAGGTTGAGCAAAGCCGCTCTTTGCTTCTTCCTCAACTGCTACAGCACAGGTAAGGGAGTTGGGGGGGGGGGGGGGGGGAAGCTGGATCAGCACAGGCAGTAAATATAAAAAAAAAGCCCACAGTAAGCATGTGAAATACTTGATTCACCCAAAATGTTTAGTTCAGTCTTTATTTTATTAAATTTTACAAGGTAAAAAAAAGGGACATACAGAGAGAACATTATTTGGTTCAACTGCATTTTTTTGGGCTGGTGATAGGCCCTCTTTAAAAGGAGGTATTAATCCCAGATTATTGCCAGAGAAGAAACTACTAGAAAGCAGCACTTTTGGCATTAATGAGATCCCTATTGCTATATCATACTGGTTAATTTCACTCGAGTCTTACCACCAGGATTTCAAGCACAGGTCCATAAAGTATATATAAAATTACATAAAAGTAGGTATTGAACACAAAGTGATAAGGAAAAACAAGAACTAAAAATAACCAAAACTTTAGAAGACCAGAAGAAAAATGGATTGGTAGGGAAATGAACATACCGAGGAGTAAAATCCTGAGCTTTCTTCCTACAATAAAAAGGAAAAATACAAACATATGGCTCTGTTATTTTTTTTTCACACTCGACACATTAAAATCAATTCACTAGTAATTGTTGACTGAAGTGTAGAGTAAGAATAAAAAAAAATGTGAAGTATATATTTACGCCTGGCTTTATTCATCCTTAGATACACAATTTATGTTAGCATGCAAGCCTGCTGGAATATCATAAGCAACAGATTAAATGGTATTCCTGTTCAGTTCAAGAGAATGCAAGTTGTACAAGTATGTTAAGGTAAATAATTACTGAAAAAAGTGAAAATGTATTTTTAGTTTCCACTCCCCCTCCAATCAAAAGAAAAAAAAAATAAAATACAAGTTCTACATACCTTCTTAACACTCCATTGCTGTCCCTACATCCCTCTATATCCAGAATCAATAAGCCTCTTCTGGCATAACAGTCATGTTACTCTGTCCATTTCCCATGAGCCCAGACTGTCATTTACATGCCCCTTAGAGGGGAGTGTCATCACACAGTCTGGGATCAGAGTACTCGAAGACTAAACAGAACTCACATCAATACTCGAGTCCCGCTCAGTTCTGCAAGGACGGATGGCAAAAGGCATGGTAAGTGAATGGAATTCTACTTTAACCACCCGCCATATAGTAATATGACGGGCGCAAGGTGGTTCTCTCGTTCATACGACGTCCTCCCAGTCTCACTGCGCATGCGCGGCTCAGGGAGCGAGCAGCGCGGCTATCGGCGCGAGGGACACAGCGGATCACCGATCACGGAAAGAGCCGAAGATGTCGGCTCGGTCATGTGATCAACTGTGTCCAATCACAGCTGATCACATGTAAACACTGATGATCAGTGTAGCCCCAGCAGTGCCACCTGCCAGTGCTCATCAGTGCTTCGTGCCAGTGCTCATCAGTGCCACATATCAGTGCCCATCTGAGCTGCCTTTCAGTGCCGCCTGTCAGTGCACGTCAGTGCCACCTGCCAATGCCATGTATCAGTGCTGCCTTTCAGTGCCCATCAGTGATGCCTGCCAATGCCCATTAGTGCCACCTACCAGTGCCTCCTCATTAGTGCCCATCAGTGCCACCTATCAGTGTCCATCAGTGCAGCCTCATTAGCGCACATCGGTGAAGGAGAAAAAAAATCACTTATTTACAAAATTTTATAACAAAAACTAAGAAAACACTTTTTTTCAAAATTTTCAGTGGTTTTTGGTTTAAGAAAAAATAAAAAAACCCAGAGGTGATTAAATACCACCAAAATAAAGCTCTGTCACAAAAAAATTATAAAAATTGCATATGGGTACAGTGTAGCATGACCGCACAATTGTCATTCAAAGTGTGACAGCGCTGAAAGCTGGAAATTGGCATGGGCAGGAAGGGAGTATAAGTGCCCTGTAGGCTAGTAGTTAAAAAGAGTTTTTCAGACATTAAAAAAGGGACATTACAGGAAAAAAAAAAAAAAAAAAGCCCACACACCACAATATATACTCAAAGATTTAGGCCTACTCAAATTTCAAACGCGCGTGTGTGTGTGTGTTTTTATCCGAAGTGTTAAATGACCCATAATAGATAGCTGTGCACTGAAATGACAAATGTGGACTGAAAAACGGAAAATTCAGGATGCACATGGTCGAAAACCAAAATGGACAGTTTTATTTTAAAAACGTAAATTGAGTTTTTTAATTTCAGTCAATGAGGGGATTTTTTTTACATTTAAGTCAATGGGATGCAATTTTGCATTGAAGTCGTTTATCATTACTGGCACCTTATTCATTTTTCTATCAGCAAGATACCAATACCCTATTTTCAGTCGATAATTTTTGGTGGCAAACATTAGTGTATCACTAATATACACAAAATACACCAAATAATACACAAAAAAACAAACAATTAAAGTATAAAAAGGGGTATACAGCTACAGCAACCTTGCTTTTGCAGAAATATCCACCCTAACCCAATTCTGTCCTGCAAAGACTTACAGCTCCAAGGTCCAGCGCTGCTGTCTTTCTGGATGAAGGATTGCCCTACTATGGGCCCAGACTATCATGGACACACTTCTGAAGGTGTTATGAAACTTTCAAAACACACACATTTGCACATTAGCCACTACTGTATGAAAGCTATTTTTGCAGGCAGTGGCAACTGTACGCAACTATAGCCCTGGTATTTCACTCCCCGCCTTCCCAATATCGGTTTCACCATACATCCCTATCTAAGGAACACTACATGAAGTTCCTGGACAATGCGGCTAGAATGTGTATTCACATGTGATGGAGACCACAAACACCCACTTCTGAGATTGGTTCACGAGACTAGATACTGTAGATTAGCAGAGATTAAAGAACTTCAACACTCTGCCCAGGATGGGCTTATCAAATATATACAGTTAGGTCCATATATATTTAGACACAGGCACAATTTAGGGTTTTTTCAGGTAATTACTAAAACATATTTAAGCTATATAGTTATATAATGGATATGGGCTGAAAAAGCACACTCTCAGATTTAATTTGAGGGTATGACCATCCAAACTGGAGGAAGGGTTTAGGAATTACGGCTCTTAAGAGTAGCCATCCCCCCTTTTTCAAGGGACCAAAATGAATTGGACAATTTAATAAAAAGCTGTTTTATGGCCAGGTGTGGGCCACTTTACTATTTCTTTATCAATTAAGCAGGTAAAAAAGTCTGGAGTTGATTCTAAGTGTGCCATTGGCAACCTATTGCTGTGAACCTACATCATGCGTTCAAATGAGCTGTCCATGCACATGAAAGGCCATTGTCCCTCCCTCCTAGATTGTAAACTCGAAAGAGCAGGGCCCTCAATCCCCTCATGTTTTGCATTTTATTGGTATTGTTCTGTCACATGTTCTGTCCCCCTTTGTAATGTACAGCGCTGAGCGAACTATCGGCGCTTTATAAATACTGTATAATAATAATAATAATAATAATAATATAATAATTGTAAAGCTTCAAAAAGAAAAAAACAAATCCATCAGAATGATAGCAGCAACATTAGGAGTGGCCAAATCAACAGTTTGGTAGATTCTGAGGAATGAAGAACACGCTGGTAAGCGCAGCAAAATAAAAAAAGGCATGGACGACCACGGAAGACAACAGTGGTGGATGATCCCAGGATCCTCTCTATGGTAAAGAAAAACCCATTCACAACATCCAGAGAAGTGAAGGACACTCTCCAGGAGGTGGGCATATCATTGTCAAAGTCTATAATCAGGAGACTTCACAAGAGCAAATACAGAGGGTTCACCACAAGGTGCAAACCATTCATAAACCTGAAAAACAGAAAAAGCCAGATTAGACTTTGCCAAAAAAAAAAAAAAAAAAATCTAAAAAAGCCAGACCAGTTCTGGAAAAGCATTCTTTGGATGCATGAAAGATTAATCTGTACCAGAATGAAGAGAAGAATAAAAAAAAAAAAAAAAAGAAGTGTGGAGAAGACTTGGAACAGCTCATGATCCAAAACACACGTAATCTGTAAAAACATGGTGGATGCAGTGTGCTGGCATGAGCATGCATGGCTTCCAGTGGCATTGGGTCATTGGTGTTTATTGATGATGTGACAGAAGCAGCTGGATGAATTCTGCAGTGTTTAGAGATATACTGTCAGCCCAGATTCAGCTAAATGCAGCAAAGAGCAAAGTTGATTGGATGGCACTTCACAGTACAGATGGAAAATGATCCAAAACACACTGCAAAAGCAACCCAGAAGCTTTTGAAGGAAAAGGAGTGGAATATTCTGCAATGGCCGAGTCAATCGCCTGATCTCAACCCAATTGAGCATTCATTTTACTTACTGAAGGCACAACTAAAAATGCAGAAAATACACTAGCTTATCCCAAAATACCAAATATATTAATTCAAAACGGTATTAAAACCCAATATAAAACTTATAGCAAACATATCTTAGTTGTGACTAATCCTTATCCTCAGTGCATTCAGTGGATAAATATGCCACTTACTCACCAATCATGAAGTGAAACTGATCTACTAAGGGATCCACCATGAGACGGAAATGTGAATAAAAGTTAAAAATAAAACACTAATGAAAAAAAAGAAAAAAAAAAAAAAAAGGCCTAATGGGACTGCAATAAAGTGAAAGATATTAATAAATATAATAATAAAAAAAAATAATATGGTGAATCCCTAAATGTGGGATCAATTGTCACTCAATAATAGTGACCACAGAGGCTATAAATTTGCCAAATAAAAGTGAAAAACTCTGTGAATCCTAGGAGACCTAGGAGGTGGAGTGACAGACCTTAACGTGCGCTGGCTGTATCTTACTAAATCATCCCTGAAGGGGACCCTGCTGCTTCCTTCCATTAACCTGGAAGAGGATAACACCGCTGCAAATGGATGTCATCCTCGAAGGGGGGGACCACACCATGGAAGGTCACTTTTGTCTTAACAGGCGTTTTGGGTCGCTTGAAGGAGGTGAGGGGGCAATTCAGCCATTTATGGTTTATTTCCTATTTGTTGTCATGCATATTCACTTTATCACTTGCAGCGTTGGAATATTTGGTGTTTACGCACCTTTGAAGTTTTTTCTTTGAACTTATTTCATGCGACAATTTAAAAACCTTTTTTTTGGTTAATTTCTGGTGATATTTTATAATGTAATTTATTTTTTTATCTTATTTTTGTCATTCAATCACTGCACTTATCACTACTGTGTGATATTCAATTCAATATTTAGGGATTCACAGAGTTTTTCACTTTTAATTTGGCAAATTTACAGCCTCTGTGGTCACTATTATTGAGTGATAATTGATCCCACATTTAGGGATACACCATTTTTTTAATTATATTTATTAATTTCTTTCGCTTTTATTGCAGTCCCATTAGGACTTTTTTTCCCATCTCTTTCACTGGTGTTTCTTTTTATTCACTTTTCCGTCTCACTATGGATCTCCTAGTGGATCAGTTCACTTCATGATTGGTGAGCGAGTGGCATATTTATCCACTGAAAGCACTGAGGATAGTGATTAGTCACAACTAAGATATGCTTGATATGAGTGATATTGGGTTTTATTACCGGTTTGAAATATATTTGGTATAAGGTAGTGTATAATTTATCGCAGTATTTACGGTAGTGCTGCACCATACTTTTTATAATCTGCAAATTATCCATTTGGTATATGGTTGGGTGTTAGCAGCCCCCTCCTCTTAATTATCATTTGTGTTATTTAGTAGCGCAGGAGGTCCTTACTGTGTTTTTTTCTAAAAAGGCAGAAAGACCCACAAAGAACTGAAGACAGCCGATACTTGTGTGCAATCCCTTGAATTAAAAGCTGAAAGTCTGCACTTCAAATTCATTTGGATTGTTATGTTTTAAATTTATTCTGGTGGCATATAGAGCCAAAAAAGTATGAAAATTGTGTCCAAATATATATGGAGCCAACCGTATATATAAAACAAGACATGGGCATGCTGGACAAACTACACTCCGAAGTTGACCGTAAGGTCACATCCCAAATGAAGTCTGATGGTGAAGCTCAAACTTTAAAACCACACCCTCTGGGGCTAACTGAACCCTGGCTGTCCCCCTGAAGAGCCACTTTCTATAGGCTTTCCCTTTAGTTCCTCAGTTCCACTTTTGTTTGTTTTGCTACTCCGCTCTTTCCCACAACCATGCCACCTTTTTTTTTCCTCTCTTTTTGCCAACCGCAATTACACCTCACACCATTCCCCTTTTTAGATCTTCATCCATTCCTTCCTTTCCTTACCCTGCACGAGTCCCTTATCAATTGCAACTTTACTTCAACAGTCCGGGGGTCCAGCGCAGAATCCCCCATTAGAAACACACAAAGAAGCATATCAATTATCACTTTACCAGCATTGAGGCTGACTTGCCCCGATTCTCCCACTGGTTCTAACCTTCCTGCAGCCCAGTTAGACCATCTGGGAGTGTACGAAGGAGACTTAAAGCTGGAGGTTGAGGAACCCTCAGGGGAACATTCCCCTACCCTATCTCCTCTTCCTAAATTGAAATGTATATTTGTATTAAAAATAAAATGTAAAAATCCAAAAGAAAAGAAATTACTATAAAAAAAGTGAAGGAAAAAAAAAAAAAAAGATAATAA